TTATTATTTTATTAGTATTAGTATTAGTATAGGGATGGATTTTTTATTTTTGAGAAATATTTGGTCAAATGAGTGTGAACTTTTTATTTTAAAAAATAAAAATAAAAATAAAAATGAATGTAAACTAATGAAATATTCATAGTAAACAATTATAGGGATATTAAGTTTTCGGTTTCCATTCACACACATAATCAATTGTTGACTTGGCCTTTAACAATTTTGTTTGAGGATATAATTGGTGGTTGGTGTATGACACTTTATATGTATGTCCTACATGTTGTTTTGCAATATCATGTGTTTATGGTTACACTCAAAGATGGATAATATTTCTGATGGATGTGTTTTAGAGGTTGAATCTCTATACTAATAAAAGAGTAGTTGTTTTGCCATGTGTCATCATATTAAACATCTTAATTAATGTGTTGACATTTGTGAATCTATTAATTCTCTATTTTAAATTTATTAGACATCATCATTAATGTGATGCTATTTGTCAATGTATTTATTCTCTATTTTAAATTTAAACTTTAAATTTTAAATTTTAAATTTATATTATTGTTTTCATTAATTCACAAATAAAAAATGTCTAATATATATTTAAAATTAATTTTACATATTTATTTGAATCAACGATTATAATTTCATATAACTAATAAAAATATCTGTTAATTAATAATTTATTTAAAATAATTGATTAATAATTTTGAGTTTTTACTATAAAAGTTTAATTAATTTTATAACCGTGATTCCTACGGGTTATAAAGTAGTTTGTTAATAATATAGACATTAAAGCAACCACTAAGATTTCTATATAAATTAAAAATAAAAGCATCTACGACGTCCCTACTTCACTTATACCATTACATAACAAGATGTTAGAGTGCTCACCGAATAATCTTAAAAGAGGACCAATGAATTGTCAAAATTAAATTTATTGAAATATGCCTATTATCCGATCTTAATTTTGAAAGAATCAAATTTATTTGTTTGGATTTAATTTGGACAACTTGTTGTAGGACATTGCCACTTTTCCATGTGTTACATATTTGTTCGTGGGCTTGGTCAGCAATGCAACTGGACTCACTGTTCAGGGCTTGTAGGAGATCTGGTTGGACCTGCACTGTTGATACAAGCCAAGAGTAGGACCAAAAGTGAGAGAAGTTGTAGAAGTTAAGGACGGGGGCTCGTGTTTGATATTCTTACTTAGTCAACACTCGGATTGTTTAACCCAGTTTCCGACCCAATCGTTTAACCCAGTTTCTGACCCGATGATGTTAGTAATACCCATGTATATAAGGCTAGATCAACCACTAAATTTTGCATCTGGTGTGACAGCACCAATATGTATTAAAAGTTAGTTTAATTATAATCTTGCATGTTGTATATTCTGCAAAAAAAAAAAAAAAAAGGTTCGTTACAACCTTTCAATAGTGTGACCTTTCAGACCATAGTTCTTGCAAACAAAAACATTTATTTCTATTATTGATATTTGAGAATCTTATCTTATTATGATTTTACTTAAAAAGACAGAATTAGGGGCATTGTTTGAAGAACCACTAGCAAAGGATCCTAACTTGTAGGATTCTTCCCTAGAACACATTGCACAGATGTTCTCTCTTTAGAATGTTACTTGTAAATTGAGAATATGAATAATCTAAATCCACTCAGTTGCATCATTCGTGTCGTAGGTTGTTGGAAGCATCGCAAACACCCACAAATTGAATTTAATCGTTATCATAATCTGATAAATTATAACTTCTCTAAACACATGCATGCATTAATTCGTTGGTAGAAATTATATATGATAGACCCATCAATTTTATCATAAGTTTCTTTTAGGTTAGTCCAAACATCCACCAACACTTAGAGAGAACCTGGCTAACATATAAGTTTTATGACACAACCTAAAAACTTGGACAAAACTAAAGCAACAGCCATATGCCACTATCTATCCTTTAACTCATCGTTCTCAGTCCGAGAACAAGAGTCATTTACAAACCCTAGCTTATTCTTAGCGTTAAGGACTAGTTTAATTAGTAGCACAGTGTGTTACAATGTTACTGATCATCTTTTTCAAAATAGTACATCGCAACCTACAAACTTTCATCATTGGACAATCGATTTAGGGAAAAATATCGATCAACTTTTAAATCCATCTTCAAATGTTGATCTATTTCTTTTATTTGATTCTTGTTGGAATAGCACAACTGACATATATTCTTCTCTGTAGAGTTTTTTGTTTGTTTGAACAGATGCATAGAGCAAATCTGGACAGCACCATCATCTTCTTCCTTTTCTCTTTCATATTTTGTTTTTGCTGATAATTTTTAAAATAAAAAGGTTTTGTTTCACTCTTTTAGGCTTTCAGGTAACCATCAGCTGCTAAAGAAACTTGGATGCACTGCTCTTAGTTATATCAAAACATATATATTAATTTTTGTTTAAGAGGCTTCTTAGATGAAGATGATGTGTTTGTATTGTATTAGTCTAATATAGTGGTTTGATATGTAATTAATAGGTAAAGCTGACTAAAACAATGACTTAACAAGTGAAATTACTAGCAAAAGGTGAAGATGAAAGTACATACATGGTTACCCTAATAAGAAAAACATGATTCAAGAAGAAAACATGAAACTAGCATGCTAAAACAAACAAGTCATGTGTGTTTTTTCTGTTGCGATCGTTTCAGGGTTGACAATCTACTTTTGTCCAACCAGAGTTTTACCAGAGCTTTTGGATTAGTAAAGTGTGTGTATGTGTGTGCTATGAACAAATGTGATAAATGGTTACCTTAATAAGTCATTTTCCCTTTTTATTATACCCTTAATGGTTATTATTATTACTTTTTTAAAACAACTTTCTTAAATATAAATAGAAAATATAAACTTTTTATGATGCCTTATTTCACACAGCGGTGAAAAATGGCCACCCGTGGTGTTGGTGGCAATTTTATTGATAACTGAGACTTAAAAACTCATGCCAAATACAAAAATGAAACATGGTTTTACATGATATATATGTTCATCTTTTTTGCAAATTTGCAATGAACACCACCACCTTCACATAAACCCCATCTTTGAAACTATCAAGAAACATAAAATAAAAAAAAAGCATATCTTCCACGACGGTTGAGAAGCAAAGAACCACATGCTATGCAAAATCCAACAATGAAACCAATGGCCCCACCAACATAGAACCAACCTTGAACTTAGGTAGCGTATTATTTTAATGTAACAATGTTGATTTTCTGAGTTGAACATTGATTTACTGATGAACAAATAAGGCCCTAGGAAACATAAGGTGAAATATATTATTAATTATAGTCTTAAAGAAAAGCAATGTATATGGATGGATCATCCTTCGAGCACTAAATTTCCTAGAAAATTTGTTGATTAATCCAAGTTTATTGGTCAAATATGTACAAAACAAGTGACTAAAGAATGACCCAATGGGATAGTTGGTTACTCTCGTATAGTCATTTTCCCTTTTTATCATTACCCTTATTGGTTATTTAAAACAAATAAATAAAAATAATAAATAACTTTCTAAAATATAAACTTTTTAGGATGCTTTATTTCACACAGCGGTGAAAAATGGCCATCCGTCGTGTTTGTGGCAATTTTATTGATAAATGGGACTTAAAAACTCATGCCAAATACAAAAATGAAACATGGTTTTACATGACTTATCTATGTTCTATCTTTTTTGTAAATTTGCAATGAACACCACCACCTTCACATAAACCCAATCTTTTCCGCTATCAAGAAACATAAAAAAAGCATATCTTCCACGACGGTTGATGAGTAAAGCATCTCATGCTATGCAAAATCCAACTGTGAAACCAATGGCCCCACCAACATAGAACCAACCTTGAAGTTCGTCTATACCTTCCCCCTCACTTTCACACCAATGCTATGTTGTATTCCCGATTCTTCATCTCCAGGACATTTTTTGGTAAGGGGAGGTCCACAAAGCCCTAAGTTCCCTTCGTATCTTGAAGGGTCAAAGGATTGAAGTTGTGTGCTGGATGGGATCCTCCCTGACAAGCTATTATCTGAGACGTCTAGGTAATTTAGCCAAGTCATTTGAGACATGGTTGATCGTATTTCTCCTGAAAACTTGTTTCTAGATAAATCCAAAGTTAAAAGATTTTTCATCTGACCGATTTTCCATGGAATCTTTCCAAGTAGAGCATTCTTTGATAAGTTCAGTGCAATTAGTTCATCCAGATTGGTAATCTGATGTGGGATTTCCCCTGTTAAGTTGTTGCTTAACAGGTCGATGCTCCTCAATAATACCATATTACTACGGATGAATTCACGTTCAGTTCCTTGCCACTGGATCATCACATGGTCAACATTATATGAATATGTTATTAATGAATAATCTACTTGAGAGAATCCTTCTGTCACCATGATCGTAAAATTACTCAAACATGAGGGGATGGTTCCATGGAAATGGTTCACGGACAAGTCTAGAATTTGAAGACCTGCTAATTGACATAATTGTAAAGGGATGTTTCCAGAGAAGTTTTTTGACCTTAATGTAAGAACATACAACCCAGATAAGCTTTCCCCGATCCAAACAGGTAAATTACCAGAAAACTTGTTGGCCCCCAAATTCAATGACTTTAAGCTCGTGCAATTCTTAACAGACAAAGGAAATTCTTCAGAGAAATCGTTCTTGTATAAATCCAATGCCTCGAGGTTAATCATAGATGCAACAGAGGCAGGAAGCCTTCCAGACAGATTATTGTGTTATAAATTAAGAACTTTTAGTTCTTTGAAATGCCACAAACCGTCTAGAATTTGTCTGCTTAGAAAGTTATGAGAGAGGTCAAGAATAACTAAAAAGCCATGGACAACCTGGCATAAGAAGGAGATTCCTCCAGAGAATTTGTTTCTGGAAAGATTTAGTAATGCCACAGTGGAAGAGACATTAGTTATTAGACCATCAAAGCTGTTGGAGCTTAAATCTATGGCTGAATTGTTATTAAAATTTTATGACAGATCGGGTACTTTCCCGCTTATGTTTTTGGAAGAAAGATTCAGGAATGTTAACCAGGAAGGCCACGTGTCCCAAAACTCTAGAGGAATTGTATCTGAAATACCAGTATTTGCAATATCAAGACTGGTAAGATTTTTCAAATTTTGAATCCATTTGGGGAAGCGAGGCCCTAGATTGCAAGAGCTCAAACGAATGAATTCTATATCAGAAAGGTTTGACATGTAATCTGAGGAAGGAAATCCTTGGAGTGAGTTTCCGGAAAGATCAAGGTTTTGAAGTTTGGGAAGTTCCCACAGTTTCTTACTTATAGTTCCTTTTAACAGATTCTCAGAGAGGGACACATCTAATAGGGATGTAAACTTTTGGATCTCATCGGGCAATGACCCTGTAAGTTGGTTTGTTTCAGCAAACAACGATTGTAATGAAAGCGATGTGCATCCTGACAAGTTATTGAGAAAATCGGGAAATGTGACAACAACAGAGTTGTTATCGAAGAACAAAGTTTCCAAACTACAGAGGCTACCAAAATATTTGGGTATCCCATCTAACATGTTGTGAGAGAGAAAAAGTTCACGAAGCTTATTGATGGTTAATGGGAACAACCAATGATACATGTGTAATTCTATGAATCTTGATGATTTCATTGATACAAATGAGTCCTCTATATATACAGAGGGTATAGGAGAGATTACATGGATTTACATAGATCTATACTAGGAAACAACTAATCATTATCAATTTACAATAAATACAATAAATGGAGATATATTCTGCTAATAGTCCCCCGCAGTCGAAACTGTAGCCGAGTGGATGGAGAGACTGGAACGGAAGCGGGTAAATAGCTGACGTGGTAATCCCTTTGTGAAGATATTGGCATATTGGTAATCTGCGGGAACATGAAGCACACGAAGAGAACCCAAACGAACTTTTTCTCGGACAAAGTAAATATCGATTTCAACATGTTTCGTGCGTTGGTGTTGGACTGGGTTGTGTGTGAGATAAACCGCAGAGATGTTGTCGCAATAAATAATCGTGGCTTGGCGCACTGGAAGATGGAGCTCGAGAAGTAGGTTGCGTAGCCATGTGGTTTCAGCTGCGGTGTTTGCGACCCCTTTGTATTCTGCGTCGGCGCTAGACCGAGAGATTGTGGGCTGCCTTTTAGAGGACCATGAGACTAGGTTGTCTCCAAGGAAGACACAGTATCCGGAAGTGGAGCGTCGAGAATCAGGGCATCCTCCCAGTCAACATCTGAATATGCAATTAGGTTGGTAGACTTGGAGGGAGTAATGTGAAGGCCATGGTTGGTGGTTCCTTTGAGATATCTGAGAATGCGCTTAAGAAAATTGAAGTGTGGTTCACGAGGATCATGCATGAAGAGGCACACTTGTTGTACCACATAGGCTATATCCGGTCATGTGATAGTGAGGTATTATAGAGCACCGGCAAGGCTACGGTAGAGGGAGGTGTCAGATATTGGTTTTCTGACAGTGGCACTAAGCTTGGAACCTGTTTAACAGGGGTTGCACTTGGCTTGCAATTGTGCATGTTGGCATGGGTTAAGATGTCGTTGACATATTGATCTTGAGAAAGGAATATACCACTGTTTTGATGTTGAACTTGGATGCCTAGGAAGTGGTGAAGTTTGCCAAGGTCTGTCATTGCAAATTCTTTAGATAATAGATCAATGAAGTGTCGAAGAAGAGATGTGCTTGAGGCAGTTAAGACGATGTCATCGACATAAAGTAAAAGATATGCCATTTGGTTTCCATGCTTGTAGACAAAAAGAGAAGTGTCACTATTGGTGCTTTTAAAACCGCATGTTTGGATGAATGTTGCAAACCGTTGGTACCAGGCTCGAGGGGCTTGTTTGAGTCCGTACAGAGGTTTTCGTAGGTGGCATACCTGTGATGGTTTTTTGGCATCGACAAACCCAGGGGGTTGGAACATGTATACAGTTTCATTTAAATCCCCATGTAAGAAGGCATTCTTTACATCCAACTGATGAATAGGCCACGATCGCGATACAGCAAGGCTAAGCACGGTCCGTATCGTTGTAGATTTAACCACTGGACTAAAAGTCTCGTCATAGTCCACACCCACTTGTTGGCATTTACCATTGATTACTAAGAGTGCTTTGTATCTTTCAAGTGTCCCGTCGGCATGAAATTTGTGCCGAAACAACCACATACATCGTATAACGTGAGCATCGTGTGGGCGAGGCACTAGATCCCATGTGTGATTTTCTATTAAGGCCTTGTATTCATTGGTCATAGCTGAGTGCCAGTTAGGATCAGAAATGGCCATTCTATAAGATTTGGGTAGGGGTGAAATGGTTGGATTTTTGGATGTGGTGTGAAGGTTAAATGGGGTTTTTGGTTTAGAGATGCCTGCTCGGGGAGCGAGTGGTCATGGGGTGGGGTGGTGGGGGAGGGGGGTTTGGTGTGTAGGATGTTGATCGTCTGGAGTATGTGATGAGGGATGGAGTATTTGTTAAGGGTGGTGATGGATTTGTGTGAGATGTGGGATCTAAGGGGGGTGTTTCGGATGGGAGAGTGGGTGTCATAGTCTCGGGAGTTGGTTCGGATGTGGGAGAATTTTGAGTTGGAGAGGATTAGGGATTTTGAAATAAGAGAGGTGAGGGGGTCGGTGTCTAAGAACAAATAATTTGGTGGTGAGTTTGATGGAATAGTGGCATAAGGGAATGTTGTTTCGTCAAACATGATGTGACGAGACAGGATGATTTTACCAGTGGATAAGTCAAGGCATCGGTAACCACGGTAATTGGCTGGGTATCCTAGGAAGACACATGCGGTGGATCGTAGGGAGAGTTTGTGTGATCGAGTGGCGGAAAGGTTGGGGTAGCATGCACACCCGAAGACCCGTAGGTGGTCATACGAAGGGTGTTTGAGGTAGAGTGCGGAAGTTGGAGTGTGGAAGTTAAGAAGTTTGGTAGGTAAGATATTATGGAAGTAAGCGGCTGTATGGAGTGCATCAACCCAAAAGGTGGGTGGGAGGGAAGCATGAGTGAGGAGAGGGAGCATGAGTTCGTTGATGCGACGGATCATGCGTTTTGCTTTTCCGTTTTGTTGGGAGGTTTGTGGAAAAGAGAAGCGGATGTGTAAGCCGGTGGTTGTGGCGAATTGATGGAAGTGGTGGTTGTCAAATTCTCCTCCTTTGTCACATTGAAAGGTTTTGATGGTTTTATGGAATTGAGTGTCTATGAATTTGTGGAAGTGTTTGAATTTGTCATAAGTTTCAGATTTAAATTTTAGGGGAAAAACCCATGTATAGTTGGTGTGGTCATCGATAAGGAGAAGATAGTATTTGTAACCACTTTTGCTTGGCAAGGGAGAGGTCCATAAGTCAACATGGACTAGGTCTAAGGGTGTAAGAGTGGTAGATGTAGAGTCAGTGAATGGGAGATGTTTGTGTTTTACGAGTTGACATGAAGAACATACAAAAGAGTTATCAAGTTTATTCCAAGAGATAAGTTTATTAGAACTAAGAAAGTCCATTACGTGATGACCCGGATGTCCGAGTCTATTATGCCAAAACGATGAATTAGCGGAAACAAAACAAGATAAACTTGGAGTGAGAATAGGAACGTTGATTGGATAAAGATCCCCAGTGCTATTGTGCCTCGTCAGGAGTTTCCCAGTCTTGTAAACCTTCACAGATAAACCATAAGGGTCAAATTCAACAGATACAAGATTATCACGAGTAAATTTTCGTACGGAGACGAGGTTTTTAACAATGTTAGGTGTGTAAAGTATGTTTTTAAGATGGATAGGTTTGGAGGGGTAGGGTAAGGTCGAATGACCTGATCCTAAAACCGGCACCCGATTTCCATTGCCAACGAATACGGTAGGACTAGAGCTGATGCATGTCAGGGTGCTTTTGAAGTAGGAAAACCGGTTGTTCCTCTTTTCTTCAGGAGTGTGACAGTTACTGAAGGTGAATGCAGAAGTATGTCCACGAAAAGTCATTTTCAGCCTATCAAAAAGCTACAGAAAATGGCAGAGGTTTGTCTCACTTTACAAATATGTTGCACATTTGATGCTATTATATTTGTTTATAGTAAGATCATTATTATTTTTGTTGATAATGGAATAAGCCTATCCTTTAGAGCAAGCAAGTAAATTTGTGGAATTGAGGATCAATACATGCAATTAGCTAAAAAAAAAAAGGTTATTAACATTTGTGTGCTTTAGTCTTAATAATTTTATGGATGATACTTTAAAAAAAGTTTTTTAAACATCAAAATAGTAAAGTATGTTGCTATTTCTAAACTTTTTCCCATTGCAGCAAATCTCCGCACTCAATTATGCATGACGCCCTTCAGTTGGCAACAAAGTAAGATCGTGTATTTATATCTCATGTTCTTTTTTTCTCAAAATAATGTTAATATTCTATATAAATTTAATTTCTCTTAATAGGACACCCAGTAAGGATTTTGTTAGATTGGATCAAAATATATCGCATCTACGTGCTAGAAAGAAATAATTATATACTTAGAGACAAAATTTAACAATTTTTTTAATCGTTTTAACTACCAAACCATTTTAGTATTAATCATAATGATAATACTTCACTTTTTTTGTTAACCAATAATACTTTATCTTTTCATTGAAACCACAAAAGTTTCAGATATCTTCTTGGATTGACCATTTGACCTGTTATCACATGCTTTCAGTGGGAAACATAATTAAGTGGCATAAAAATGGTTGATTTGAATAAATTTAGGAAACCTTTGCCGTTAGAATGGAAAGAAAAACAAAGTAATAGTGGTGAAACCACAGATCTGCCCAAAATAGTGTTTTCATTTTTTTGTTTTTTTATTGTAATATGCCCTTTTACCCCTTCTGCCTTCTTTTGTGCTTTGAGATTTTTCTATGCATGAAAATGTTGATAAATCTTTTATGTAGGTTGAATATGTGCACATGGAAGTAGAACAAAAAACTGCATATCAAGAAGCCATTGAAGAGTATCGTGCAGTTGCACATACACGAATGATCAAATCTGGACAAGTTAAAACTCCTAATCTTCCTAAGTGCCAGATTTCAAAGTATTTTGTTAAATTCAGAAAGGTGTGAGTAATTATTCCATTTAATTATGAAAAGAATACATAAATTAAACACATGTTTATAATTTCAATATATGTTTGTTTTTAATATCAGATTGCAAACCATCCTTTATTGGTGAGGTGTATTTACAGAGATAAAGATGTCATCAAATTCGCCAAAATGTTGCATCCCAGAGGTGTATTTGGTGCTGAGTGTACTTTGGATAGAGTAATTGAGGAGGTTAAGGGTTACAATGACTTTTCAATTCACAAGGTAATTAATTTGTCCCTATTTTGTTTTAAACTTTTGATTCATTACTTTTAACAAAATCCTTAGGTAGGAAATATTCTATAAATTGCCAAAAATAGTAATGTAATATATTCAAATGTAGTTTACTTTTTAGTTTTTACCTATAGTAGGTTCTATTAATAAAGGGTTAAACAAAAAAACTTATATTTTATTTTTTTTCCCGGATTAAACCTTTATTC